ATTTATGTTAATAATAGCAAATTTATATCAATTGTCGATAATGTCAGCGTTCTTCGATTACTTCCGGGCCCTTGGGGCCCTTTTTATACCGCCGAAAATTTGCTCAGGGTTGACGGTCTTTAATAGTATCTCGTCAGTGACATGGCATACAAGACAGCAAGAAGACTAGAACTAAGGAGGATCAACTCGTGTGGTGGGGGTGAGTCAAAAAACGTCCGCGGCTATTCACACGATGTGCAGTGGCACACTATCGTCAAAGTTCGATTATCAGAGATAATAACTGCAGAGAAAAAAATTGTAATTTTTCGGCAATATATAGGATATTATAGCTTTACAAATATACATATTTATTTATAGAGCATTTATGTAATAAAATATCATGAATTTAATAATGTATTAGTCAAATATTTATGTTAATAATAGCAAATTTATATCAATTGTCGATAATATCAGCGTTCTTCGATTACTTCCGGGCCCTTGGGGCCCTTTTTATACCGCCGAAAATTTGCTCAGGGTTGACGGTCTTTAATAGTATCTCGTCAGTGACATGGCATACAAGACAGCAAGAAGACTAGAACTAAGGAGGATCAACTCGTGTGATGGAGGTGAGTCAAAAAACGTCCGCGGCTATTCACACGATGTGCAGTGGCACTGCGCATTGTGTGAAAGTTCAATATAAGAGCGACAAAGTGACGATTATAGAACGATGGAGCGACAACTATATAGAGCGACAGAGAGGACTAATGAAGCGCAAGAGTGGGGGAAGTTATCCGTCGCCACTTTTTGCCTCACCCCCACTACCGCTATTGGCACGAGTTGACTCTCCTGGTTCTAGTCTTCTTGCAAGAGAGCGTCGAGTTGTCATGAACCATGAAAGTACTAGGTGGTTATGTCTATCATATTTTTCGGTCCTAGTGGAACTCAAACTTGGGTTATCGGAAGCACCCTATAATACGTTCCTTAGATTTTTCTTTAAATTAATGACTCTATTTTACGTTGCACACATATTATATAATATATAATGTTATTGTATATTATATATGTATATTACTGTCGATAATTTAGATATATTTTTATCGACAGTGCTAAAAAAATGCATATTAATCGATTCTAAACCATCGGATGTAAATAGCAGTATTATACGAGTCTGTTCTAACCGTAATCCATGAGTTTCTCCAAGAGATGTCTCTATAATCTTTCCCCGACCGATAACTATTCCTATGCTTCATTACTGTTTGAATCAGCGAAACTATATTATTAGATTTATCACTCATGTTTTCAATGCAGAGATAATCCTAAACGAAAAAATCTATAGATTGAGAAATAAAGTAAATAATACATATATAAACAATTCACATATATAATATATATAATCGAACTTAATTATTGTGAATCATTTTCATTATAAAGAGATAACAAAAATAAATATAATAAAATATATATAGATGCTGTTTAAAACTTTACTTAAAATATCTTTAACTTCTAGCATTCAAAAATTACAATTTAACTTACACTTCTCTCGCTTGCTATAGTTATAATTAACTCACAATCCAATATAATCCTTTCTAAACTAATATATACTATAAGATTATAAGATTTTTACTAGGAAATACGCAGGATAGGAAAAAAGAACATGGAAAACACTCTATTAAGATTTATCGAGTTAATTTATTCGATTATTTTCATTACAAAAATAAAAATGAAAAAGAAATGCAAATATGAATGTTTTCGATCCTATATAAATATATCTGATATCACATAAAGAGAAAAAAAATAATACTCGAATATATTATATTATTATATGAATGTAAAACAGAAAAACAAGGTTTCACAGAAACAACATAAGATATATGATTAATTTGTATCTTTGACTCTACTTTTACTTCTTCTCATGAACCTTCTTCTGAGTCGTCTCCTGAGCCTTCTCCTGAGCTTTTTCCTGGATCGCCGACTTGCCAGTATACTCGATCTTGATCTTCCGTTCGTTTTGCGACTTCGGCTTATCCTTCCTAGGTGCGGTAATGCTCAGCATGCCATCTGATGACAAGCTCGACGACACCTGATCGATATCGCACTGTTCAGGTATCATGTATTTGCGCACAAATTGCCGTGAGATCCAACCGTGCTCGTCCTGCTTCTCCTCGTGTTTGGCCTCGACTATCACGAATTTATCCACGACCTTGATATTGATATCTTCCGGCTTAAACTGTTGCACGTCCAGCATCACTTGGAACTTGTCCTTGTTCGCCTTGACGGTCGATATGCCACCTTCTTCTCTGCTGCGTAATAGTTCGCCCCATGGTCGATTATAATACACCATTTGCCCTGGACGTAGACCAAGACGGGATCGTTGTTGCAGTGCGAAGCGCTCGAGGATGTTGGGGTGTGTCAATTGGTCCGGATGAATGCCCAGGCCAAAATTTTGGTCGAAAAGCTGGTGTGGATATTCCAGGTCCTCCCACCAGTTGGAGAATAGCAATGGCAGAGACATGCTTTCTTAATCTCAAGAAAGACTTGACAAAGAGACACGGAAAATCTCGAACGAAATTGGCTGACGAAACTAGGTTGAGTTAATTGGTAGCGAGCTGATTCGTTTTCTAGCAACGATTCGCACCGGTCAAACTTGCGTTTGCTTTTTGTCAACAGCCAGCTCGCGTCGCATGTTTTATAGCGTCTCGTAGAAAATTGCGGGCATGCGCATACGCGGCAAATGTGATATCGCGCAGCTTCGAGAACGTTTATGAACAGATTAGAAGTTAACGCACATAAATATAAGTACATTCGAGAACAAACTAGCAATTTCGCGATCGCACTACGCGTTTGCAGTTCTTTCTCAATACGTGGCCTGCGTTTTTTTTTCACTTGGAAGGCTAATACGTATTGTTATACGTACGTAGTTGTGAAGTGGAGTTTTAGAAGTAGTAAAATTTCAAATTCGAGTTTCGACGTTACAAAAGGTCTGTTTTCTGTGACTGAACTAGTATTACACTTTAGGAATTCAAAGTGAGATAGGTATATGTCTGATATTTGCGTGGCTGAATATAAATTTGAAATACTTTTATTTGTAAAACAGTATTTATAGGACAATTGCATTTTGTATTTTGTATTTCAAGGGAGCAAAAATATTTTATACTTTGTATTTCAGTATTAATAACGAAAAATTGCAAGTATTTTGCATTTTAAATATTTATATTAGCAAACAATGTTATTATTTGAATTACAAGATACAAAAAAACTTTCAATCTTTTGATTTTAAATACAAAATTTGTATTTTATACAAAATTTGTAAAATACTTTCATGTGTTCCACTGAAATACAAAATACAAAATACGCTTTTATTGCAAATAATATGTTTTAAATAAAAGTATTTTAAGGGGATCACACCACTTGTGACTTTCAAAAAATCGAATTTTTTTTTGCATTTTTTTGAAGTATAACTATCTAAAAATATGTCCTCAAAATTTGAAGTCGATCCGAATAAAATTGAATGAGATATTGGCTTTGAAAGAGAAGCGTGTGTTACGCAGACGACTGGCAACACTGCCGCCTGC